ATAGTAGAGGATAGAAAAAAAATAAAGTATCTTCAAATTCAAATAAAGAAAATAATTTATAATTACAATTTCAATAATCATCAAAATATTTCATGTCTGTTTATATTTTTATTTTTTTGAAAATTTGTTTACAAAAGACATAAAGATAAACTGAGCATTAAGATGCCCATATGAAAAAATCCAACTTGTAAAATGGTTTGGTAGGTAAATAAATTCTCTTGATATTAAACATATGTAGTTAAACTAAAAAGTGCTATCATGTATAAACTAAATTAATTCTATAAAGTAGTTTCCGTAAATATGTTAATAAATTAATCTAATTTATTAATTTGTTAATATTTTTAGATAAAAAAAGCAATGAAGAATGCTATTAATTGCTATTAGTTGCTATCAATAATGACTAAATTATTGATTGATTTTAAAAGAAAACTAGCACAATATGAAAAAAAAATGTTCGAAAAATATCTAATGTTGCGTAGCTAATTTAAAGGGAATTTTTATGAATACATTAATTCTTTATGATACTTTTGCTATAGGATTACAAAACAATTATTAAATAAAATGTTAAAATAGAAAGGCTGCTAATATATTAAAATTCTTCTCTTGGGTTTTACCGTTTATTAAAATGAATTTATAATAATAGTTTATATAAAACATCCCAAGCATTTAATGAGAAAATGACCATGATTAATCTTTAACTATATTAATATTTGAATTTTAAGATTTTCTTAATATGTTATCCAAAATTTAGGACAAATTATATAAGTTTCTAATTAAAGCTTTATGGATTTTACAATTAATAATTTGAAAACAATTTTGAAAAAAAATTTAGTACATGACATAGATTTTCTTGCTTTTATGTATTATAGTTAAAAGTATAATAAGCTAGAACATTTATGGTATTAAATTAAAAATAAGAACGCAATCTACATCATATAATGCAAATTTTCCAGTAGTACTTATTTAATTATCTTCTTTTTTTGTAATAATGCCTAGAACATATTCTATCTACAAACTTTATAAATAGTTTGATAATGATATAATCAATTTATTATATTTTCTTTAACATTCCAGAAGTTTAAAAATAAATATATAAGTTTTCTGGATATTCAAGATTAATGATTTTAGATATGACTGGTACTAAAGTGTGCTCAAAGTTTCAATAAATAAAGAAGCTTCGCCAAAAATCAATGAGACTAAAGAAATAGAAATAGCAGAGATCATAAATGCTTTGTTTGTTTGACTCATAGCAATCACTTTAGATTTTAATTCTTCACTCATAATTCTAGGAGAGTTGAGGAGTATAGATTGCTAAGGTTAAATAATAGTTTGATTATTGGAATTAACAACATTCTAAATCAAAAAAACTTATAAATTAGGTTTCTCTTAAAGTTCCTAAAATATTTCTATATCAATAATATATTATAAAACTTATAAATCTTAAGTGATACCTACAATTGTATAAAGCTGTATATTATAATATTATTCTTTCAAATCTTAAATTTATATTTCAAAAGTCTAAAACTATTCTTCATCAGGTGATTCTGTAAATTGAACTTACTAATCAAAGTTAATCTCAACATATTAATGTGAGAAAGTTTAATTTAAAAATAATAATCTCATTCTAGGGATGAGAGAAAATGCACATTCATCATGACGGCAAACCTCATTTTGGTTCTAATTTAAGTTATTAGGTTTTTGACTTTCTGTTTGTTTATTATAATCTTCATCTTCAACACATTTTTCATTAACTAATTCAAATCCTTAAATGCATTCTACACATATGCCTTTCAAACAAACACCACAAAATTAATTACATTAATATTAACAGTTTGAACATCCATCAAAATCTATATTATTCCCATCATCGCATTCTTCATCACCATTTAATATAGAATCACCACAACAAGAATTATTAATTACGATAGTCCTTAAGGGACATGATTAATTAAGGCAAACTCCTTTGTCACAAAGCGTACATAGTTAACTACATTGAAATTTACATTCATTGCAACCATCATATGGAATCATATTAGAGTCATCACATTCTTCATTACCAGCTTCTATACCATCTCCGCATAACTTAACACAACTATTAGAGAAACTCTCATAATATAAGCCATCTTAAGCTTCACAAGATTGTAGAGATTCACATTTTAATTTGGACTAGACTAAGAAAAATGGTTCTAAACATTGAACACATTATGCAAATTATCAATCAGCACATTCAATTTCACATTAATATTAGCATTAGAAGCATCCATCGTACTATATATCATTTCCATCATCACAAACCTCATTGGATGCTAAAATATTATCGCCACAAATAGAATAACAAGTATTGCTAACTATATCTAAATAAAATCCAGATTAACACTCTTAACAAATACCAAAAACGCATAGTTTACAGAAATCAGGACATACTAATTTACAATTTGAACATTGATTAATTAAACGACCTTTTCCTTCATCACATTCTTCTTGGGATGTAATAATATTATCTCCACATTTTGATATACATTTTTATCCATAATAACCTTATTTGCATTCTATACAATTATTAAATTTGCAGATTTTACAATTTTAACGACATATATCAAATTCTAAATCTGGATTTGTTATAAAATCTATGAATTCTTAATTTTAAGTAAGACATTGATTATCTTTCATCTATACACAATTTATTTCTAAATCAAATTTAGTTTTTTTGATGGGAATGCAATCATTATATATATTATCAAGTTCAAAATTAGTTTAACATATTGTGCAAATTCCATTTTGACAAATCTCACAATTTTCTGAACATTGAAAACATTAATAGCATCCATCATTGCTGAATAAAATGTAATCACATTATTCTTAAGGAATTTTAATTAAGTTTTCACATTTCAATTAACAAGCAGATAAAACTAATTCATAATTATCTAAAAAATTTAAACATTTTCCTTTAATGCAATCTAAACATGAATCTTAACAACTATATTAACAAAAATGACATCCATCTCCAATTATTAAATTACCATCATCACATTCCTCATCAATAGTTATAATCTTATCTCCACAAATAGAATAACAAATATAATCAATTATGTCATAACCAATATCATATTATCAACAACCTTTTCCTGTTGTATCACATACTAAACAAGACAATTAACACTTTATTTTGCAATTCTAACATCCTCTGTAGGGCAAAATATAACTATCTTCACACATTTCTTTTTCAACCAATAAGGAATCATAACAAATAGGTTCACAAATACTATTAATAAGTAAGTATCCTTATTTACAGGATTTACAATCAGAATTGCAACCTAAATCATCATAAACTTCTGCAAAGAATCTATAAGGATCTACTACTACTAAACCATCTCCACAATCATTTTAGCAAAAATATTATTTTGGAACAAATCCTGGGAATTCACATGCTAGACAAATACCTGTGTCATAATTGCATGATGAACAACCAATCCGACAAAAATATCTACACTCCTTGCATCCATCAGTATCTGATTAATTAGCATCTTCACATTATTCCTCTCCTACCAACATAAAATCACCACATCTCTCTTTACATTTCCATTTTAATGGATCTATATACCACCCTCCAGCACATTCTTAACAAATACCCATCAAACATCTTGTACAGGAATCTTAGCATTAAAATTTACAATGATAGCATCCATCGAACTATATATCATTACCATCTTCACATTCTTCTAGGCCAGTAACTAATCCATCTCCACATACATCTGAACAAGGAAGTGTAGTATCTATATTACAAGTTAAACAATGTGCTGGACATTGAAATCTACAATTAAAACATTTATCATTTAAAACTCTGTTATTATCATCACATTCTTCATTTCCTAATATTTATAAATCACCACAAATAGGTTAACATTCTCTATTAACTAATTGAAAACCTGTATCACATGATGCACATCCTGGAAAATGCCAAATCAATAGATTACTAGCACACCCTAAGAAGTTAAATTTAACAAATTAATAACTCATTTGCAAATTTAAAGTAAATCTTATTACTCTTAAAAATATTGTATTATTGCCCTTGTTTTTAATTAAAAGTAAAACTAATAAGAAGCGATCAACTTAGGTTCACTCCGTCCAGAAAATCCTAAGGAAAAAAAAATTCGACATACATTTTATAATGCTTCAAGTATGGAGAAATATATTTCTTTTGAAATCTTCTTATTCTAAATCAATTATTTCAATGATCTTAATATAAATTTCATTATTTA